CTGGATTCACGCAATCATCGCCGTCACCAACATTCGCGGACTGAACCGCAATATCGATGCTGCACACCTTTTTCTCCATTCTTCTTCTCCGCTCGTCCTTTTGTGATCGAAACACATCGTCAGACACCACCCATCTTCCAGTCCCCGAGTACACTCTGCATTCCTCCTTGATACCCAAAGCTGGTGTCTGCACCTTTATTGACAAAACAGTCGCCGCCTCCAGCATCCCAAATCTTGCCTTTTCCAATCGTGAATTTCCGCTGATGTGGAATCTAACCCGACTTCTTTCCTATTATCTTTACTTTTGTGTTCTATATAGTTCCCCCAATACTGGCGATTAATCCGTCACTGATTTTCTATCTTCGAACATTGCGCATTTGATCATAATCACGATTGGGCTTGAAACCGAAAACTTCACTTTGGTCGACAACCAGAGCCAATTAATTGACCTCCCCACACATGTCCCTGATCTAGGTATCGATGATGTCCACACTCTGATTATCAATCACTTTGTCCCCTTGTTTCTTCCCAGATATTTGTATTCTCCTATTGACTCATCGGATCACTGCATTGATTCATGTTCTATTAGGTTACCCAGCCCAGATCTGCCATCCACGTCGAGACACATCCTGGCGCTGAAACTCAGCCAACTGGGACGATTTCCGTGATTTACTAGCTGCTTTTCCCTGGAACTACTGCTGTTTGTTTTCAAACGTTTTCAAATCTTTTTCCAACTTCACCGACGTTGTTGTTTCAAGTATGCACCTTTTTATTCCACACTTTACGAACCCGGCAAACCTGAATCCTCCGAGTGGTTCAACTATGCATATCACCGTGCTACACGCCTAAAACGTTCCGCTCTCCGCCACTGGTGCTTTCCTCAAACGTGAAGGACTACTGAGCACCCGCCAGTATGGCTTCTGACAGCATCGTTTCAACAGTGATTTCTTGTCACTTATCCCTTTGTCCGCTTCATTCGATAAACATGGAGAAACACACTTGGTCTCACCTGACATCTCAAAGGCCTTCGACCAAGTTTGGCACAAAGGTCTATCCATGTTCGAGTTCCTTCAGGCGCTCGTAGCACGAATATCATGTTTCCTCAGTAAGCCAACCATCTCCGTTCAAGTCGATCGGGTTCTATCTCAACCATAGTCGCTCTCTAGCATAAGTAATTGCTCTACATCGCCTCCGATGGATGGGTCACCTATTGCGTATGCCTGCCCACAGACTACCTTTCTGTGCTCTCTTTGCAAGTGCCGGTCAGCGCTAGAAGAAGCGCCGCGGCGGTCAGGCAATGACGTCGAGGTATGAAGAAGCTGGCTTTAGCTTTGGATTTGGTTGGTGCAGCCCATCCTCCTGGTTGAGGGCCAAGGAATGAGGATTGTCTATGGGTATAGACGCTGAGACATATGGCCCAAAATAAAAGTGAGTGGAGTGGCTGCTTTACGGTCTGCCTGTCGAATTCCCGTGTTCCATAAAAAAACATAAATCAACAAACGAAAATTCAAAAAGTATACGGTGGAACACGCAAGAAATTTTGTATCCCAGTTATCTACAATTTTCCATTTTAGGACTTTGTCCTTCTCCTTTCTATGTTCTGTAAATCAGTTCACCCATCTACTGTTATTGTTATTGTTTTCATTATTGTGGTAATGGTACTAAGCTTGTCCNATATATATATATATATCCTGTAAATGCAGATGTTCCTCAAGGTTCAGTACTTCGGCCCAACCTTTTTGATACATTCGTCAATGAGCTCTTTTTCAAAACTATCAAAACGACCCGTTCGTTTTCCGAGGACGCCACCCCCTACTGTTTCCTTTCCTACCGCACTGCACGCCAAGCTCAAATTAACATCGATCGTGACGGTATTGAAGGTAATGTGTCACTGGACTCAATCTCTCCTGGGGTATTGCAAACCACGTTTCAGCAGCAGCAGCGACACCAGAAAATTTCAGAAAATAGCCGGGGAGAAAGATAAAACAGAACAAATAGAAAAGTCACTGTCGAAAACTCTTCAATGTATCAGACAGAGGGACACTGCCACATTTGATTAACTGCGACCAACGGGAACGACGATCCCGAAAATTTATGGCTTACCAAAGATACATAAAAATAGAGTGCCTCTCCGACCGATTTTAGACAAATGTATCTCCCCTTACCATGCCTTGGCTAAGTGGCTGGTAGCGATCCTGGAACCCATGGGAGAAAAACTCGTCAATCACACATTAAAGGGTTCCCACGACTTAGTGGCTAGTATTAACGACACATACATAAACGGTATACGCATGTTATCACTCGACGTCAGTTCGCTCTTCACTAACGTTCCCATTGATGAAACTATTGAATACATATGTGACTACATTCAAAGTCATAATTGTGAAGTTGGAGTGCCAGTTGGTGATCTCAAACAATTACTATACTTTTGCACACATAATGTACGATTCAATGACGAAGTATATCGCCAAATAGATGGAGTAGCAATGGGATCTCCTCTGGGTTCATTGTTCGCTGATATCTTCATGGCAAAGCTGGAGAATAACATCCTAAAACGCACAATTGATCGTTGCACATTTTACAAGCGCTATGTGGATGACATTTTGTGCTTTGTCAATGAGAGTGTGCATCTGTCAAGACTCTTGAAAGTATTTAATTCAACTCATCCAAACATTAAGTTTACTCTAGAGAACGAAGAGAATGAGCAGCTTGCATTTCTGGACGTTCTACTAAGCATCGATCAGACGAAACTATCCAACGCGTCATCCATAGGAAGCCATCGTGGAACAATCAGGATATCAATTTCAAAAGCTATATGCTTTTGGAACTGTAAAGAAACCTGATTCATTGCCTCGCTACCGGGCGCGAAGAATATGTACAGACGATACCATTGATGCAGAGCTGAGGTTTATTCGAGATGTTTTCCTTCAAAACGGATACCCCGTGCGATTTGTGGACAACATTCTGGGTCGTCATCGGTCGCCAAATAAGACCATTACTGCTGAGAAGCAGCCGGTTTACATATCGCTACCTTTCAAGGGCGACACGACTGCCGATATGATGACACGTAAGCTCTGAACAGTTGTAGTGAAAGCATTCCCCGCGGCTAAACTGCGTATTATGTTCATCGCCAGGCCACTTCTGCGCTTTTAACTGAAAGATAAATCGCCTGTTTCTGCTGTTTCCTTCTGTGTATACCTATTTATCTTTTCCTTTGGGGCAATGTACATTGGCCGCACGAGCAGACGTTTATGTGAGCCAGTCCGTGGGCATCACCCGGCCTGGTTGAACAGTGGAGTAATTAGGATCATTAACAGCTCAATCGTTTCACACCTGGTGGAATCAAACCACGTATATAATGTGGCCGAGGCGTTTGGACCCCTCTACTTGGTTTGCACCGGCCGATCTAAGAGGATTAGGAGTCGCATTTTGGACATAGAAGAAGCGATCGGAATCCATGCTACATAATCCCCCTCTATGCTCCCAAAAACAATTCGTAAGAACTCTCGGTCTTCCGTGGCCAACACCACATACGACACAACCATCCCCCCACCCGCCAGCCCCTGATGACTCAAACAAGTGCGCATGTATAAGGACCAAAGTGTGAGTGACATCCGGTCATGTAACTGGAATGGTAATTATCTCTTTCCAACTTGTCTTGATCTCTCCCTCCCATGCCAAAAAGTTTGATATAAATTGTGATGTATTAGCTTGTAGAAGAATCACCGCAAACGAGCTTGCTCGCTACTTAGTGCTTTCTCACAATGGGTATGGATGATATATTCGGACAAACCACGTTTCACTCAATAGTTCTAAAACCTGTATCCATTCGGTTTCTTTCAAACATCATTTATTCTCTCCATATTTATCTTTGGATTTCACCCAACTGCGTTCTATAGACTCTGTTTACCCTCTTGGTTTGCCTATATTTTCGTCTTTATGCTGTTCCGCTTTTATAGCTAAGCATGCTTCTCGGTCCCCCCACAAGGTTGTCTTTTCATTTCGCGACTGACGTTTTTTCTCACTCCAGCACAGCTCCAACGGTACAAAGCTCAAATACGCCCTGCTTTCGAATACTGTAGTCACGTGTGGGGTGGGGTTTTGTCTTCCTTTCCCTTCTTGAGCATGTTGAACGATAGACCATCCGGCTAATCAATAATCCTTCTCTAACATCCAGTCTGCAGTCACTAGCCCCTCGTTGAGTAGTTGCTTCATTGTCCCTGCTTTACCGTTACTACTTTAGTATTTGTTCTTCGGGGATTGCCTAGGCATTTTCTCTTCCAGCAGCTTTTATTCACCGTTCCGTACACAGGCATCTTTTCTTTTTTGTCAGAGTTATGTTCCTAGATGTCTTACTTCCCTGCTCCAATCTTCTTTTTCCCCCAACTTACAACCTTAATGGGTTGCAATCATCGCAAAACGTGGGGGATGAATAATATATGAAAATTATTCCGTAAATCTTTACAGACCCTCATCATCGTAATACCGTTAAGGACGGTTAATTGAGCTTCACTGTTCGTTTCAAAGCTCACAAGGAACTGCAAGTAAGGAAGGATGTGCAAAATGATAGGGTTTGGGTCTAATTCAACGACTTTTGCACAAACCAACCATTAAGATGCTCCTGCATAAGTTTGATGGACGGTGCGCCTTCCTAAGCATTTCCGCTTGGCATTACTAGTGAAGCAAAGGAAACAATTTTTCATAGTGGGCTTTTTGTCAAAAGCTTTCTGTCTCATTTTTCAGTTCAGCTAAATATTCGGCTGTTGTTGGTAATTAATTGAGATAGAATAAAGACAACTACCATATCACTTTAGGAATTTTCTAAACTGTGCATTGTACATTTGCTGTGGCTTGATTTATGAAATCTGTGCATCGAGAACGGAGGAGAAAGTCGATGAATGATAATTATAATTAAGGTTTCAGGAAACTACTCTGCTATTAGGGAGTTTAAAAATTCTTAAACTGTAGTTACGTTTCGTCAAAGGTCACAAATATTTGCATCATAATCGGATGATGCCTTTTTGGATCTCTTCGAATGCTTTTTCATCCAAACGTTGATATGTTTTTGATTTCGGCTCACAATAATATAAGTGATCATCTTTCATGTGAACAGAAAACCCCTCTTTGACTAGATTCACCTTGCGTAATTTGAATGTTCCTGAAAAAAAGAAAAAGAAATGTATGGTCAGGTTTATTTTACCAATGGGATGCTTGAACAAAGGTGGTTTCATGAACATGAGCATACTTTAACCAACGGGCTTGCTTCTAACGAGCGGTAAATATTTGGAACGTGATGCAGCCGCATAGCGATTGAACTGTTTCTCTTCCTTTTACGTGTTATTGCAAAAGTTTTCACAGATCAACTGATGATTCAGCTTGCTTGTACAAGGATAAATTTCTATGTGGTGTATCATTGCTTAGACGTCACTGGCTGCTAAATTAACTTAGATGAGTTCAAAGTCAGTTTCTTCAATCCAACGTGATGCATTCAATTATACATCAGAAAACACAAGCTGTGTATTTCTATAGGATTGAATAAAATAAATCAGTGGTCATGAGTTGGAAACATTCATTGAGGCACTGTGGTAACTGGTTGTCAGTCGCGGGGACCAAGGAGTATATAAAGCTGTTGATGAATGATGATTTTGTTTGGCGATTGTAAAAGTTCAGAAGCCTCAGTGGGATTCGAACCCACGCATGAATGATACCTACGCTTTGTACGCGCACGCTGTACTAGTTGCGTTACGAAGCCAGACCGATGGCACCGATATTTTTACATTCCAATTACCATCCAACTTACAGATGCATATGATATCCACCAGTTAGCATGTAAGGTGACTACCCCGACAGGTTTTCCTCAGAATTCACCGCAGTCCATCTTATACGGTTATAAGACAAGTTAAATGCTAGAGTATTTCCCACTAGGTTTCGTATTACATTTGAAACGAACCATTACAGTAAAATCATAGAACCAACAACTATAACTACCGCTGTCGGACACCAGGATGGAGGGGATGAAAAAACACGGTTTCGTTTGAGAGAGTCTGGCCCCATCCAGCTCGTTTAGTGTGAAAACGTTCAAGTGTACTCAAACGAAGACCTTGCTTGAGGGTATGGAGACACTCACCAGGAGACTGGAACACATAGGTCCCGTTAGACTCCCTGACTGGGGACCTCAGGATGGTCGTAACCGATGGTTAGAGACACTGAGCGATATAGGTGGGTGTCATTAACCGTGGCGCTCATGCATCTACTCATTATCCTTTCAAACTACGTCGAGATGAATTCTCTATCATCCACTTGAATTTGCACTTAGCATTCCAATCTTCATGCAGCTCTTTTATCCAAATGGGTGGTTAAAACACAGCAACCAAAAATGAGGCATGAAAGAACATGGTTACTGATTG